CATCTTGGCGATCTCGTGTCTCACTTGTCATCTTTCTCTTTTGGATTTTCAAAAAACTGTAAAACAATTGTAATTGTGTCACAGTTAATTGAGAATCATGAATGAGCCCCAAAAAAGAAAAAAAACAACAACACTACCAACAGCAGTGTAGAGACTGAGTGAGGTAATGTATTCTGGCAAAGACTTTTTGTTTCAAAAGCTTTTCATAAGTCACATTACACATTGCCAGTGGCAGGTCTATTGTTAAAAGTCATCAGATAACTAGCTGAATGTTTTTTTTTTATTATTTCAGAAGAAAATGGCAAGCTGCCATACAGAAGGCAACTAACAATAGCAAATTCCCATTAAATTTGTGAAAGTTCCTTCCTAAAGCAAACATTGCCAGAAATAGTCATCTTGGCCCAGTTTTGCAGTTTGCAACAGGGAGCAATAATGCCTAGTTTACTAACAAAAATTATTTAATAGAATCCAAGCTTTGATCAGTAGAGATCAAAGTAGAGTAGAGCTACAGCATTCATTAAGCAATGTTGCAAGGTTTCCCTGAAGAACCAAAAATCAACAACAGAAATGGTATGATGCAATAATTTTAAACCAGCTACAGTATAATGCACTTTCTCATACTGGACTGAGGTTCATTGATTAAGCACCAGCTAATGTTCAGAAACACAGGACTTCAAGGAGCAACAATTGTTTGGATTTATTTGACCATATAGACTTGCATAACTTGATCAACTCTCAAGTCCAATTTAGTTAAAACATTATCAACAAATGTGTTGACCTTATAATCATAAATTCTATTTAATCAATCAACAGTTAAAAACTCACTAGTTCGTTAAGAAGCAGCTACTGTCATTCATGAGCATTTCCTCTACAAATATAAATATTTATGTAATACCTTTAATTAAATGTTAACAGGCTTTGCACTAAAATAAAATGAAAAAAGCAGACATTTGTAATCTGATGAATTTGCAATTTAAAATAATTTGTAAAAACTCACTTTACCTACAATGTCTGTCATTCAGATACAGGGGAGCTAGTATGTTTCCAGTTTATTAGAATTAATATGGACAAATCCAAAAGTGGCCAAACCTGTACAAGAATTAAGGAATGTGAGCATGCATGCATTGTTACCATGGAAGTGACACCCATGTCAGTTTATTGTTATTTGTCATGTCCATGTATTGTTTTACAAAAGGTTTTTCAATGCCACACATAAGCGTGCATTGTATGTCCCGGTAGGAAACCCTAATATTATTGATTTAACATTCCTCTTAATATAAGATACTAAGGTGTTTGCTATGTGCAAAAAAAGAGTGACACAAATGTAATGACAAATGATAAAGTATTGAAGCCTTGCACTGTTTTATTGGAGACAAAACTTAGTGCAATGTTTCAATGTCTGTCAGAATTTCTCAGTGCAATTTTACTGCTCCTGTATTTAAAAAAAAATATTCCAATACAATTTTTAATAATATATGTGACAGTAAACAAGACATACTAGTATTGTTTTGACCATTTAAAAATATAACACAAAGAATGTTTCAACAGTTCGCCGAAGTCTTTCAAGTCTTCCAGTGTAAATGTGGTATTTTTCACAATAAACGGTAGGGGGCACTCAGAACCTTAAACTGTGATATTCAATTGTGCTCGTCTCGTGTTTACACAAAACTCCACTTTTAAAACAAACTCGTGATCCAATTTTTTTCGGTGTGTGTGGGGGAGACTTCTTCTAGCCCATTTGAAGGAAGTTGCAGTAACATTTATTATTATTAGTATAATCATCATGAAAAGGGAATAAAAAATGTTTGACTTAAAGAGAAACTGATTGTTCTAACACGTTTCCCTAAAAAGTTATTTCTGTTATGACATCGTTCAGCTAAACCAATGTGTCTCCTTAAGATGGATTTTTAAGGAAATCCTGTTGTGGATAGAGACTGATAGATCCCAACGCACAAGTACGTACAGTAGGTTTTCTTTAAATCTGCAAGTCCAGTAATTGTGAGAAATGTTTAATTGTGAGTTATAATAATAATTTCACCATTTCTTACTACTCTTACGTTCACAATATATTTAAATGTGGGATTTATTTTTTCAGAAACGATAACATAACGCACACCCATTACTCCTTTTCATCATCATCAGAAATGCATTCCGCATCTAAATTTCCTAGAAACCTACTGTACACGTGTCTATTTAAACATTGTATAGCAATCTAATAATATTTTACAACACGTTATAACATTAGTTAATGTTATTTGTTAAATATTTATTTTAGGCTTTTTTTTACGCTGTCAGTGTTCCATAGGACAGCGCATTTTCACGATCAGTGTTACACGATAAACTGCAGGCAGCATTGCACACGTGTCCAGCCACAAATACATTCAATGAATTATTTTATCGTCTATCATTTATGAAAGGCTTTTGATTGTTGTTTTTTTTTATTTTTCCCTCTCTGATCTCTTAGACACCTGAAATAACCGAAGCTTGCTTGCCTGCTGCGTTTCTTTTTTTTCGACATCCTTTTCCCTAGATTGTTTTGTCTGCTTGATCGAGGGCATTTGACACATCGCATTTCTATATTTAACCCGGAAAAGTGTCACTTGAATGCACTGTGATTATAAGAGGCAACCCGGGTCATAGAACCTTCCGGATACGAATTAACCCTAATGAAGGCAATAAAGGGAAGAGATAACATAGGGACAATTGTTAAAGCCTTAAATGAGAATCTTACCAAAATTAGTAAGAAATTAATTTGCTAAAATGCTGATGCTTTCAAGGCTAATAATGTTATAGAAAAACGTCAAATGTCAAGACAGTGTTATTTAATTGTTCGTTTTTTTTCATATGAAACACTGTTAAAATGCAAACTTTTCTTTTCTGAGGCCAACAAAATGATACTATTTAATACCTAAAACATAAGCTCTGATTAAAAGGTATGTCATTTTTCCCTATTAATAAAGCCTGGTAATAAAGACAGTAAACCTGAATAAAAACGCAACATTCGGAGAAACACTCACAAGGGAAGCTTGATTTTATTTGGACGATAATAATGTAATTATATTATAACTGAGTGCAAAGCAGAAAAGACACTAGTATGTGATCATTTATTCATGTATATAAAACTAATATCCCGTTAACATTAATTTATTTGAATGATGTTTATATTCAAAGGATACCCATCTGGGATGTACAGTAAACCCACAGCATTTCAGTACAGTTACAGTTCAGTTACAGTACGAGGCCAAAACTCCTGACTCGCCCCTGTAGAAAGATAGTATTGACGAGAGAGGTGCATACGTGCTGTTTGTTTTTTCTTAATGGATAACTCTATAGTGCTCATTTTAATATGTCAGCACCGTGCATGTGCGGTATTTTCGTACATTGATTATTATTATTATTATTATTATTATTATTATTATTATTATTATTATGTCTATAGGCTGCGAAACTTCCCTTATTTCTAGTTCTATGTGTTTGGAGGCTATTTTCTTAACAAATGTTAATGACTGAATAATCTGTTCCTATTTCATTGTCTTAATTTGTTTTTCATTTGGTGTTTGAAACTGAAGTATGAGGGGAAAGTTCCCCCTCTGCTGTTATTTATGTTTTCATTTCTAGAAGGGAATTGGTTTCCTCAGATTTATTTTTGCAGATTTTTCTATGCATAGGACGGATTTGCGTCACAATGCAACTTGCAGGTCGAGATAAAGTTGCACAAATATTGAAAAGGGAAGTCCTAACAGTCATTATAAAGTTTTTTTCTCCGGAAGAAATAAGGATTTCTGCTGTATCCTAAAATACTAAAACATATTCTATTTTTGGACAAATCTAGCAGGCATATCCGCTCATTTAGTTTGAGTCTGAGCCCATCAAAAACAGGATGGCTTGAACTTAATAGAAACTTTGGTTTCCTGCACTCAGTGGGTCAACAAGAAGTGCATGATGCTGCTTGAAAGATTATACTGAAATGCCGATGCAACTCCTTTATTAGCCTGGCTTAATGAAAGAAAAAAATCGTCGATACTTCGTTGTCTAACTTAATATGTATCATTGTATTGTGTTTTTAAGGAAATTGCCATTGTAGCTTAAATGGGAGCTATAATATTGTTGTTATTCATAATAATGACAATATCAACATTGTCGTCTCTATTTCTCAAAAAACATATCTAGACAACCTTTTTTTTACCCAATTCTGTTTTTTTTTATTTAAAGTTGTTGGACTTTGCTTCATAAAAACAAAATTACGTTTGCAGATTAAAAATATTGACCTTGCAAAGTTCGTGGTACTTTTTTCTTTTTGTAGTGTGCGTTGATCCGCGAATTTTTCACCGTTTAAAATGTCATCTACTGTGAAAATGTAAAGAGCGCTTTCAATTTGATTACACTCCTTTTGTTATTGATTAATCCCCTTTTTATAAAAAAGTATCTATCGAAATATGTTTTTACAAAATAGAAATGCGAAATATGCAACCTTTGTCACTACATCACATTTTCATCTGTTTACAATAATAAGATGAGTGCATTGCTAGATTTTATTTCTAATATTTCCATATGACACATTGTATCATCGTAGATGTTGGGTTAGCAGGATACACTCGTATAATAATACCCTATGTGTTAGTAATATTAATGAAATAAATAAAAACGCCAAACCTCTATAAATGGATATAGTAAATGCAGTTTAACCGATGTTTTTCAGCGTTCCAGATTTGATAAAAAAAGAAACAATGTTTCAAGCCAGTACACTCAGACTTCAGTTTAGTGTTGTATCACTGAACTGCCATTATGTTTATTTAATCTTTTGAGAAGATTTTGCAAAAAGCTGCTTGGGGTCATCGACTCTTAGATCATTGTAAACACTTGTTAACGGCATGTACCTTAGCACCTTGTGGGCGTGACGTGAGGCTCAAACCCAATTTCTATTGGCTTGGGGATTGGCCAATCAGAGTCACATTCATATCGTCTATTAGGAACTACTTGGACTAGCTTCCAAAGTTTCTGAGTTGTGAGAGGGTTCCCTGTCCCTTTAAGAAAGAAAACAGCCATTTTCAGCAGTCTTTTACATGTGTAATTAAACCTAGTCTCTTACTTTTCCTAGAATTGAGACTAAAACGGACAATAGAATGTATACTACAGGACTAAACCCGTTTTATCCATCTAATTTCAGTCTGTGGTCGGCTTATTGCTCCAGTGGCTTTCCCTTGGATTCTGTGAAGAAACCTTCATTTTGCATCGCTGATATATTACATGTTGGAGACGCAGAAAACATACCTGGATCTTCCGCGATTGTGGCTCATTTAGGACCTCATTCTCATGTCCATTCTTCAGGATCCCCGTTGCGCCCGTCTCCTTTGGCCCCAGAGTCGTCTGTTTTTAGTCCCAGAGTGAGTCCAGCCTCCTCTTTTCACCGACATCATGGAATACACGGAGCCTCTCATGGTTCGAGGCTGCAGCTGAACTGTTCTCCCCAGCAGGCTCCTGCCCCCGCAAGCAAAGATCTCAAGTTTGGGATAGACCGTATTTTGTCGACAGAATTTGATCCCAAAGCAAAGGAATGCACGACTTTGAGAGGTAATGACATCTGATTTCTGTTATTTTTACAGATAACCTAATACGTTCTCAGTCTGCATTCACAGATCAAGAAGTATAGCATATCATGTTAGGTGTCAAGAGAGTTATCCGCCGTGTTTCATTTTGGTAGTACCCTTAAATAGATCTTCAAACGTACATCAGACGGGGCTTTGTTTATAGTCTTCTAATGAGGTGAGATGATCCTATTTAAATTGCTCTTAAGGAAGTTATCGAATGCAGTTATATGTTTCTATACATTCATAAATCATTTTCTGAGGGATTGTTGTAGCCTACTCGTTTAATTATTGACCTAAACAATTAGCAGGTTTTATTTCGCCGTCTTTAATTAAATATCCTTATATTTACATGGAATTACAGTACTACAGTAATCCGATTTGAATGCAGAGAATCGGTAAATAATTTCATAAATTTTCTTCAAACTTAGTTTCCGTTATCGTAATTTCTCATTTGCTATATTTTAATTCTTTGTCGCAGATCTAACATCCATCATTAGCTCCAATCGTCAGTCGGGTCTCCACGTCTCCTTGCCTTCAGCAAACCACTACTTCGCGTCTCTAGAACCGGGGATAAGTGACCCTACGTCCATCATGAGCTCAGTTGGCTGCGGATCCCGGCAATCAGTTCAGCATCAGTTTCAAGACACTTTTCCAGGTAGAGTAGTGCTGTCATACTACAGGAAAGTTACAGGGACTTTATTTTATATTCACCATTGTTATTATTATACAAATTCTAATTTTAAAATGTCAAATATTTCGTTATAACCTCTTTCGAGCACTTCGGTATAGAAATATCATAAGTGAACGAAGGAAATGTATTATTTTCTATAATCCATGCGTATTTTGTTTTGTGCTGTCTTGACAGATCTTCGTGTTTTATCATTTTCATTAACAGGTCCATATGCGGTTCTTACGAAAGACACAATGCCGCAGACCTACAAAAGAAAACGCTCCTGGTCAAGAGCTGTATTTTCCAACCTTCAGAGGAAAGGACTAGAAAAAAGATTCGAAATCCAAAAGTATGTCACCAAACCAGACAGAAAACAACTGGCAGCCATGCTGGGCCTAACAGATGCTCAGGTAAGTTTAATCAGAGTTACCGCTGTATGAGTTTTGAAAGCATATAAATCTTATCGGAGACTCTGGGGTATCTAATTGCCTGCTTGTTCCCAGAAGACTTTCTTACACTTTACAAAAACAAATGTGGCAGGAAACTTTCAAGAAACGTTGTATGCGTCATTAATAAACCGAAGAGCAACTATGACACACCAGTAACTATTATCAGCAGGTGTTCTGCGGGCTATTAGACGTTGTTTTGTTTGAGACCAATCTTTCTTCTGTATTAAATTAAAATTTTAGCGAGCAATTGTGGGGCGTTAAAACTCTTCTTTCAGCAAACCAACATATGAATAACCGGCAGGCATATAAGAATACTAGATTCCTTCGGAGATTTCCGTTTCACAACTGCTTTAACAACAGACTACAATCCTTTGACAAAGTATCATGCTCACATTGTTTCAGTTATTAGACAATCATATATTAGTAAAATCTGTAAACAAATCGCACGGGTAGTTTAGAATTGAGTTAATTTGCATTTAAAAGAAAAACTACTGTGTCTGCTCAGAAAATGAAGTTATCAAGATGATTACACCTAATAATTTAAACAAAAAGAAATAATGAGAGAACATCTGGCTTATAAAATTGCGAAATCAAGAACGGTGAGGAAGTGAAAGTCTTTTATAACGAATAATTGCATACATATCTACAGTGATTCATTATTCTTAGAACTGCTATTTCAGTTTTATGGTTAGTTAAGCAATACTTGGTTTTTCTGGTCAGAGTATCGAAAACAAAACTCCAATACTAGCAACAAACCGTTTGACCGAAAAAGAAAAGGGCATGTTTTTACTACTGTGTTAAAACAACATTCATGCGTTCTCTTATAATTGCTTTAAAAAGGTTTGGATCTGTTAGACTGTTATTGTTTTTGTTATTGTTGTTGATGATGAAGATGATAATGCTAATAATAATTGATGCATGTGTGGCTGTGGAATTATTGAAACGTATTACTGAGAACTAACAAAATAGTTTTGACACTTTTTGATTAGCTCATTGAAGGAGAAACGTACAGTAGCACTGTACACGATTCACAAGAACATCATTTGGATGCAAATACTTATGTCAACGAACCTATAAATTTCACAGGTTTCATTTTTTCACCCCCGCAGGTTAAAGTCTGGTTTCAAAACAGAAGAATGAAATGGAGACACTCGAAAGAAGCCCAAGCGCAGAAAGACAAGGAGAAGGAGCAGCCCGATAAGTCACCGGCTTCCGTCGCACAAGACGCAGAGCAGAAGCAGAACGAGTCCGAATGCGAGAGCGGAGGAAGTGACTCCGAGTTCGAGGACGGTCAGGATAAGAGTGACAATGACATTGCAGAGCACAATAAAACAAGAGTTATCAACCCTGGCGCTGTCTCTTTACATACTGAAGAGGCATCCTCAAGCAAAGCAATCACAGAAACGACTGCGTTACTCTCATCGCAAATACTGTTGTAAAAAGCACATTTTTAAAGACACCCTATAATATAACACAAATTAATATAATTACATTAACTTCTACAGTTAAGTGTAGAAAGAAAAAAAGACTCGTCATTTTGACTAATATGCAACAGGAATGAAGAACCCACCCATTTAGATTTTTTTTCCCTTTAAACCACCAGCAATTAGAATTTGTGGCATGTTTTTCATTTAAACAATTTTACTGACATTCTGAGCCCTAAGTTTCTGCCACTTCTGTGAAAGGTATGTCTTCAAGGCAGGTGATGTTGCAAAAAAATGTGAAAATTTGTTAACATATGTTGGAAAAACTTCAAACGTTTTCTTTGAATCTGGGATTGTACTATAATTTGTTAATATTTCCTTGCACTGAGAATATTGTAAATAAAAGGTTTCTTATTGTTTTCAGATGTTGTATTGACATCCCTTATAGAAATGTAAATTCATTTTGTGTGAATTATAACTGTTTTACCAAAAAAGCTGGCGTGCGCTTATGAGTACAGTAAGAGAAAACAAGCTCACCATCATTATAAAACTCCTCAACATCCTTTCTTCCACAATAACTGATACTATTGATACTGGTGCGGCTGCCACTGAATTATTATTATACTGTATGTAGTAATAGTGGTGATAGGGGAGGAGTATACAGGTAGATCTTAGGAACTTTGAAGGCTTTGTATAAGGCTTTGATAAGAAGTAATAAGATTAAGCGGCAAATAATCAGAATATCAGAATACTTACCACTGGACACTTTTCAACCTGTGGATGTCCTGCGTATTGTCATTCGGGAAGGCGGGGAAAATTTTGACTTATGACATCGTTTTATTTCGTTTGTTTTTTTTTTAACAACTAAATATCGGATCCTGGAATACGAATATTTGTGTCTCCGCTAAATCCCGTAAATGGCCGTGAAGCTAAAAGAGATACAAATATGTCCCAGCTAACCATCATTCTGTCCTCTCTTTAACTGGTAACAACGTTATGTTCCATTGTTAGTTTTTTTTTTCAGTAATTGTTCAATCAAAGGGATAATTGTACCTTAGGGCCGCACAGTATAGACTAGATTAGTAGGTGACAATTTTCTCTAGGGTCTTAATATCTGATGGGTTTAAGTACGCAGTTCACTTTGGAATGTAGAGCGTATTTCGCAACTAATGTTTTTTTTAATAATTCACACCTTAAATATCATTATAAATAGCACATCGTTAAATACGCTTTCTGATATAACACTTATAAATTTAACTAGTTATATTGAGATAGTTCTTTGTCAATTTACGCACTTTTTAAAAGATAGATCATCCAAAAATGCACACGTACTGTATGAATTAAAAACATTCGAACACATTTGGTGAGCGAAACAGGCCAATGTGAGCAATGTTATATTTTTACTGTTCGTACAGTATTTTATGAAAATTCAAAGGGGGTGGGGAACTGTGTCGTGAAAAGATTTAGCTTTGTATAGTTTGCATGTAGATTAAGAAGTCTGGTTCACACATACTGTAACCTACTGCTAATCAAAGCTGGTATTTTAATTGGCCGAATGCTTTTCGAGCTACAAATTGTGCATGAAACTCAAAATGCACTAATATATTGATTTAAAACCTGTCACTATTCTTCCATGATCTTTTCAAGTAGTCTTGAATACCTAATAACTACCTATTTAAAAACACAATGTAGTATTTTAGCTTTTGGAAGTAAAAAAAATGGGTAGACAAAATATTCCAAACCAAGATTTCTTACATGGATATCATGGTGTCCAAAATTTCAAAACGAGATAAATGTAATCACAATAATATTATGAATAATGGTAATAAAAATTAAATATATATGTTTTCAATGATGTATATTCAGTAAATCAATGGAGATTTCTTAACGGACACCATCATAATGACGACGTAAGTTGCGGCCGTCTCTAACCAGAAACATTATTATAATTTTTAAAACAAAAATCATGATTAAATATTTCTGGAAGATTGGCTTTTTTTCAGTACACAAGTGCTGTGCGTATTAATATTTTCTGAAAGCATAAATCTAAAAATTTACTTGGTGTGTGGTTTGGGGGTGAAGAACTGGTGTCAAATCCAATTAAAATCCGATAGCAGTTAACTGGTTTCGTCAATTGATCAATAGTCGAAGTCTGGCATTACTCCAACTGATAAGAAGCCCAAACACTTGTTATCTAAATACCGTTGCCTATAATTATGTCTGGGGGATACCCAAGAGATTTCCTTGACATTAAGTGCTGTTTTGTATATCATGCATGCCCTCCAACGCCCACGTGCATTGCGGATATACTGTACAGGTGTAACGTCAATTACGCTATTGATAATGTCAATATTTATTGAACTGAAGGATAAAATGTACTTCAAACTTACAGTATTTTAAAAACACGTGTTTGAGGGTTTAAGTAGGGGTGCATTTCAATATCTTTCGGGACTGTGCCTTTTAGGTTGAAGCATCTTCTTTTTTTATATTTCTTTGCTAGTATGACATGATAATTATTTGAATTACATACAGAACAGTTTATGGTTCTCTTCTACGCACTATATTTTAAAAAGTGTGTAAATAAAGTGTAATCTTACAATGTATTAGTATATTTATATTAAGTGTCTTTAAGAAACGCAACAAATGTGTACCGGAACAATTTGTTGTTGTTTTTTAATGCCTCTAATTAAACTTACTGTGTGTGCTATTATTAATTGTATTATAATATACAGTACATACACGATGCATTGCAACGTTATTATTGTAAACTGTGACCTGCATCACTGTATGGCCAATTCCATAATACTGTCTGTAGATAACAGTTATAATCAATCACCAATTTTCATATTGAAGTTGAATTGACAATGAGACTTTATCACACGTTTTAATGAGAAGGCAACAAACTAAATATTTGGGAATGGCTGCGCTTCTAATCATTGCAGTTGTTTTGCTGTGCTCCAAGTGTCCACGAAGTTTAGCCAAACCTCCTGTCCCTAAAGAAGTCCATTAGTTACTAACCTTTGTATGTTCTGTGAGGTCCAAACAAAAGAACGAGCTTGCAGAAGTGCAAATGATTTGAACCACCTGGTTTGTAGAAGAAAAGTCAAGCGACATCATTAGGGGGCTTAGCCTTAACTAATTGGTGTCAAAGAGTATGAGCTAAATTGTGGTCTTAGGACACTGAGGATTTTGTAGCGATAGACGAAGGTATTTTTTGTTTTCAAAATGTGTGCATTGCTTTATCAGTGAGTTATTTCCCCGAAGCAAAGCCGAAGAGACTTCTGAACTTTCTGAAGCAGCTAGAATTTAAAAGTGTTGTCGAGTGTAGACTCATAAGTTAATAAACGAAAGTAGAAAAAGAAAAACTGAATACATTTTACTGCGGTGGGATATGTGATGAATTCTCGCTTGCTCGCATATGTGTACAGGACGATGTATTTATTCGCAATCATGTACTGTGATGAGTTACATACAGTAAGACACGTTGATCATAGCTGTTATTTACAGCTCTTACTTGATTACCTATCTCAAACTAAAAGATACGTAAGTGATATATTTGTAAAACGTTGGAATTGTCTCTTCTTTGGTAATGTGCGGTAAACTGAAGTGCTCGATTAGTTTTCTTGTGCCTTTTCTCCTCTTACGTTCGTTATTTACATCGCACGCTCAGTCATGTTTTCCTGTATTTGTAGGGACATCGTATTGCCTCTCATTGAATTTTGATGAGCCGTTTTGTAGCCTACTCCACCGAAATTCCCAAATTAAATTCCAGAAACAAATGTTTGGAACTTTTAAACTTCAAAAAGACTTTGGAGACGTTATTACAACGTCAGTCGTACATGCACTCCACTTCCACTGACACGCGCGCGCAAATGCTATATACAGAAACAAAAAAATAATAAATTTGCAAACATCTTTATTGTTAGGATGTAAGGATACACAATGGGGTAAGGGCGACGTCACATACCGATCAGAAGTATTTCATATCAAAATAACGACATTAAAAAATAAATTTTTATACGGGTATAAATGATTTTAAACCTACATAAACATTCATAATAAGAATATATTTGTTTAAAGTACACAAATATTCGTAGTACAAATAATTATACATCCTTACTATTTCACTCGCGTTATAATTCAGTGAGAATAATTTCCAATGCATATTGTGCTACATTCTTGAACTGGAAATAGCGCTTCATTTAAAAAAAAGTAGTTTGCAAAGGCGATGCTTCTGCGTATAGTTAGTGCTGATGATTTTTAAAAGCACGCGATGATCTAAGCATAATACTAATATTATGCATCATTTAGACAGGATAACGATGCCACCTTGTCAGGTCTTGCTACTTTACATAACCCATTTGTTGAATATCGAAGTCATAAGGAGTTGATAAATGACAACTTGGACATCTCTTGGCTCCCCAGACCCTTTCATAAGCATTCTAATGTAATCTCTTTTAGCCTTTTCTCTAAAGAATGTTAGCAGTTTGAAATCGTACGTCTTAAAGCAAGCAGAGTGCAGGGCTGAGAAATTTATAGTCTGTGTATATTTTCTGGCTCCAGATATCAGCAACGTAATGGATGAGTATATTTTATGAATCCAGACTCAGATGTAGGAATCAGAAGTCACTCCATTTATGGAACACTAATGCCTCTCCCTTAATCCACTGGACAGGCAATAAAATTTGGTACTAAATGTGCTGTTTTGATAACGAGGACCTTTAATTGATTACAGAAATGCCACAAACTAAATAAACTTTTCTTGTTGATAATCCCCGTTAACACTCTGCTTCATACCTTTACTCGCCCAAGACAGTCTATTTATACAGCAGGCGTGTGTAAAGGAAACAAAACCCTCAAATTATTTACTCGGTTGCTTTGCTCCATAAAGTCGTACAACAATAAAAAAAGGTTTACAACGTTTAGACATTTTTTTGCTCGTGTATGCTGCGTTTAAGAGGCAACTATAAATAATTTAATTTCCACATTTCCCCCCTATTTTAGAATTTATTCCATCTATTCATTTTCTAAACGCTTTTTTCAGTACAAGATCGCGGGGGAGCCGGAGTCTAACCCGGCAAGCGTTCATTTATAATATTTTCCTGAATTAATTGCAGAATTATTATTAAAGTAGTAGTAGTATAGTGGGAGAATTTAAAGCCTAGATTTCAAGAACGTTGTACGCGCGTTCCTGAAAGATTTGTAAAAACATGAAAGCAGCAACACTTTCGCTTGCACAGAATACCGGAATATGTATAAGTCTTCTGCACGTTTTTTGTTAAGTAATGAAGGTATCTGATAGCTTAATCGTAATTATTTTGCCTCCGGTATATGTAATTGACTTTAAGCATGAGTTTTAAGCATGAATAAGAAAATTATTTTAGTTATGAATTAAAGTTGATATTCCTTTTTATTTCAGTTAG